CCTCTTCTAGGCTAATTCTCACATATTAATTTAGCCCATTTCTAATCATCTGTGTAAGCACCCCAAGGTGCGCTTACCGGGAAGATTCTAGCCTATGTCCATCCTGGGTCGGAGGAGCTTCATTGCGTGCATCTGCCCGGGAGAGCGGAGCATGCCTCTCTGTCTGAGGCGTCTGGCTCTGAGAGGAGCTGCATTACTTCTGACCTCACTTCCTCTTCCTCCCAGCATTCTATTCTGTTTACTCCTCCCACCTATGTTTTAACCTATCAGGGCCAAGGAGTTCCTTTATTGCTTAACCAATGAAATCAACAGATTGATATATGTCACTCCCACATCACTAAGAGTTGTCAGAAATGGCTTCAAAATTGTCTTAAAGTTCTACAGGCTGACCACATCAGGAAAGTGAAAGTATGAACAGGCTTTCTAGGAAGGTGGGGTGTGGGCCGGGCCACATTCTCAGACTGGGGCGGCCACTCCAGGCTCAAGGTAGTTTCTGGACACTAAAAATGAATGGAAGTGTATATTGTTTGTGTGTATACGTGCATATGTCTGCTAACATTCCCCTTCACTCCTGTCCTTCTGCAGCTGGGCAGTGACGAGAAAGTTCTAGAGAGCTGCTTGAGTCTGGGTGGCCACCGGGCTCCTGTGGTCACTGTGGACTGGAGCACCGCCATGGACTGTGGGACCTGCCTCACAGCCTCCATGGATGGCAAGATCAAGCTGACCACCCTCCTGGCCCATAAGCTCTGATGTCCTGCCTGTGGTGACCCGTCGGAAACAGAATTGTCCCCCGTGGAAGAGAGGCGAGACAGAGGACAGATAGTGCTTCTGGCTCGGCACTGTCAGGGCTGTGGATCTTCAGGGAAAGGCTACGCTGGGGGCTCAGTCATCCAGCTGCAGCTAATGGAGCAGGAGCCTCTGGAGCGGGCTGTATGTGCTTCCTAGAGACTTGAACTGTGGCCGGAGAGGACATGCTACAGAGCACAGGATAAAATGATGTAAAATGATGAGGAAGGAGCCACAGTGGTGCACGCCGTGCACATGGTTCAAGAGGAATCGACAGTATTTTGTACATAATTGCTTTTCTTTTTCTTTTTCTTTTTTTTTTTTAGCAAAAAAAAAAAAACAAAAACGAGAGAGAGAGAGAGAGAGAGAGAGAGAGAGAGAATATTCTTGTAGTTACTTGGGGTCTCTTTCCAGAGTGTCTGAGTCACCTGGCCCTAGTGATAGCCATGGTTTCCTGCCTTGGTTCTTATACCTCAGTTCTTACCCGCCACCACTGCCATGTTGCTGGCGGAACCCCATTAGGTTCCCTGTGACTTTGCCAGAGTTGAGATGTAGCCCACAGTACCATCCTCTGGGCTCAAGCCAAGATCAGTGTGTCTTCTGCTGGACCTGATAGCTGTTACCTTTGGTTAAGAGGGTTCTCCAGACAACAGCAGGGCCTGAAGTCTGGGCCCCTAGATCCCCTTTTCCTCAGGGTTGTCTGGTCCCAGCACTCGTTCTTCCAGCCTGAGGTCTCTGAGCTTGAATAATACCAGCTGCCTGTGCCTCCTGCCTGGCTCGGCTGAGCCTGGGCCAGCCATCTCTGTACACTCGTACTCCGTTCTCTCATTGGGGAGGAACCCAAGCCCCCTCCATTGTCAGTTCTACATCCTACTGCTGAGGCCAGCCTGGAAGGAGCCACTATAGAGTCAGTGAGCCTGGGCCTGGGCCTCCCACACTAAGCAGGGGTGACCTTGTTACCTACCTAGGGGATGTCAATTCCACGGACAGTGACTGTTTAGAACAGTCATTTGATAGCTTCTTTGGGCTCTAGGCTAGTTGTAGGCTGTGAGGCTGGGGTAGGGTAACTCCCAGGTGCCTACATTGGGAAAAAACAGCAGCATACTGTGGCCTGGGCTCCCTTCTGGGGCTGAAGGGAAAAGTAGAAAGTGATATATAGGAAAAACCAGAGTAGTACTTTTCTATTTATTACTGGTGTGTATTTGTGTGTGTGTGTGTGTGCACGTGCGTGTGTGCACGTGTGTGGGAGGCATATGCCACAGCAGAGGTCAGAAGACAACTTGGTAGACTCAGTTCTCTCCATCCACCTTTGTGAGTTTGGGGGGATCAGACTCAGGTGGCCAGGCTGCATGGCCAGTGGCTTACCGGCTGAGCTAGTTCCTAGTTATCTCTTTTGACTCATTTTCATACCGACATGAAAAGATGAACTCTTTCCCTGCCCTTCCTCCACCCAGATTCGTGACCCAGGGTTTCATTTGAGTTAAGAGTCCATGGGCTTAACTTTTCCTCCCAAAGTTTTTCGGTCTTCACGATACATTCTTTCTGACCAGGGCATTCCCCACACCTTGTGGAAGCAGTTTTAAGGCTCAGAAACAGATGAATACCCCAGAACCTGTCCCTCCTGCCCTGTCCCTCCCAGGAAGAGCATTCATCTGCAGAGCATGTTGGAACATACCCTTTCCTTCAAAGAACCGTTTTTGGAATCCTTGGGTGTTGTGGTAGTAAAACCCCCTCTTCTACTGTCTGAATGAAGGTGTTTGCAGGAAGCACAACCATGAAGGCAGGCTACCCCAGATTGAGCCACTCTGCTGGGGGTGAGGACCTGTCCTGGCTTCTGTGAAAAGCCTGGCAGGTGGAAATTCCTATTTCTCCCTTGTGCTCAGGGACCTATCTCTGCTCAGCCCCAAGCCCAGTCTCTTGGTGTTCAAATGCCCAGGAGCTCGGCCTGAGGTCTGGAAGTACAGTCATAAATACACGGTGGGCTGACTAAATAAAGCTGACTGACACTGTTACTATATCCAGTACAGTTTTACCTGTCGTTTTAAAAATAATAAAAACCCACGTTGACTCCAGCACAAGCAAATCTAGCTTGGTTCCTTATTCCTCCCTGCAGCAGGCTCTGTAGGCAGACACACAGGTTCCTGGTCTTAAGCCTTGTTTGCTAGGTGGCCATGGAGAAGTTTTAAGAAGTGTGCAGGCTTGGGCAGTTAGGATAAGAACCAAAGGAAACATGCCCTCCCATCCTGCCCGTTAGACGTGGTTGCCTCACATCGGTGAGGTTGAGGACTCTTTATTTATTTATTTATTTATTTATTTATTTATTTATTTATTTATTTATTTATTTAAGATTTCTGTCTCTTCCCCACCACCGCCTCCCCTTTCCCTCCCCCTCCCTTGTCAGCCCAAAGAGCAATCAGGGTTCTCTGCCCTGTGGGAAGTCCAAGGACCACCCACCTCCATCCAGGTCTAGTAAGGTGAGCATCCAAACTGCCTAGGCTCCCACAAAGCCAATATGTGCAGTAGGATCAAAAACCCATTGCCATTGTTCTTGAGGTCTCAGTAGTCCTCATTGTCCGCTATGTTCAGTGAGACCGGTTTTAACCCAGGCTTTTTCAGACCCAGGCCAGCTGGCCTTGGTGAGTTCCTGATAGAACATCCATCCCCATTGTCTCAGTGTGTGGGTGCACCCCTTGCGGTCCTGAGTTCCTTGCTTGTGCTCTCTCTCCTTGTGCTCCTGATTTGGACCTTGAGATTTCAGTCCGGTGCTCCAATGTGGGTCTCTGTCTCTGTCTCCTTTCATCGCCTGATGAAGGTTAATATTCAGGAGGATGCCTATATGTTTTTCTTTGGGTTCTCCTCCTTATTTAGCTTCTCTAAGAACCCGAATTATAGGCTCTTATATGTTAAAGACATATGTTAAACATATATGTCCTTTATTTATGGCTAGAAACCAAATATGAGTGAGTACATCCCATGTTCCTCTTTTTGGGTCTGGCTTACCTCACTCAGGATAGTGTTTTCTATTTCCATCCATTTGCCTGCAAACTTCAAGAAGTCCTTGTTTTTTACTGCTGAGTAGTACTCTAATATGTATATATTCCATACTTTCTTCATCCATTCTTCAATTGAGGTTGAGGACTCTTATAGTCAGTGAATACCACTGTCACCACCGCCAGGTACACTTTCATTACACTCCCGGAAAGGCTGGATTCTAACCCTGCTCAAGAGCAGCTTGGCTAAGCCTCCCCTAGCTCTTCGGGAGATTGGAAGCCATTGGTTTATGCTACTAAGAGTTGGGATTTTCGATTTCCTGGCCCAGGCTGTTGGCTTAAGATTTAGGATTAGCATTCAAGAAGAGGCCGGTAAGGGCCCTGGAGAAGTCAGAGGCTCCTCAGGGGAGTCCTGTGTGTACCCATCCAGAGATTCTAGGACCCGACAGAAACTGCTGTGTGATTCACCGACCTGCTGTAAAAATAGTTAGTCTTGATTTCTCCATTGGGGCAGACAGAATCCGATCTGGGCTTCGATTTACTTCAGCGTGCCAGGGAAGAACCTCCCCTGGGACGGCCTGCTCCGGTGTTTTCAGTAGACTCCAGGGGCTTCTCCCTTGAAAACCCCCAGGAAACCTGGGCCTCTTGGTGATGCCTCCCGCCCTTCTGCAGAGGGCACCCTGGGCCGCCAACCTGAATGTTAAACATTAGTAAATGCAAGTAATTTTTCTCTTTGAATTGTCAGTCTCCTGGGTCGTGTTGAACTTGGTTTCCTCTTGGGGATCCTCTGGCAGGACTGTCAAAACCAGAACCCCTTTTCTACCCCTAGTTACTAATGACACTGACTTTCTAATAGCCGACAGCGGCTCATCCGCCACAGCCGCGGACAGCACCCGGGGCCTGTGGATGTGGCTTGCGGTCTGCAGGGGGCACCCGGGGCCCTCCGCGCCGGACAGCGACCAGGTCGGGAGCGTGCTGGTCAGGAGCGCGCAGGAGCCGGAAGGGGCGGGCGTTGCGATGATTGAGGGCGTCGCAGTTCTGAATCCGTCCCCGGAACCGGCTGAGAGGAGTGCTGAGCACACTGCCCCGCCACTCGCCTGCTCTGTCCTGTTCCCGGGTCCCTGCTCTGCGCCCTCTGCGGGTGGGAGGGAGCGGCGTGGCCAGCTCCCGGCTAGTGCAACGAGGCCCCGCATGTGCCTTCTGGGTGAGATTTTCCAGGCGACCACCGGACCTCATCCCCTTGCGGTCGGCAGGACCCGGCTGTCCGCTCGATGGTTGATGCACAGCTTTCTGCGACGTTGTGCACGTTAACTGTTAACTACGTCTGTTTCTGGTCTGTGAAATGGACGTAATGATACATGCACTGTCTGTCGCGTCTGATGCATTTCTGTATAAGGTCACTGCATGGTATCACACTTATCAACTCCTGTTCTGTGGCTGGACAGGCTAGGATGGTGCCCTGCTAGGTTTTTTTGTTTTGCTTTGTTCTTCATTTGTTTGTTTTAATGAAGTTATAAACAGTAATTCTGAATGACCCAAAATTATCAAGCGGTATATGTTGTAGGGGCGGGGGAAGGAGGCACTGGCTAATGAAATCTGTGAATCAGAAGGCCTCCAGGTTCTAGTAACCAGATCATGACCAAGGTGAGAAGTCTGTCGTTATGGGTGATTGTTTGGGGTGCAGAGGAAAGGGAGACCAGAGTTTGTTTATTTCCTTCCCTCCCTCCTTCCCTCCTTCCCTCCCTTTCTCCTTCCCTCCTTCCCTCCTTCCCTCCTTCCCTCCTCCCTCCCTCCCTCCCTCCCTCCCTCCCTCTCTCCTAACATGCAGAGGTGACAGGAAAACATTTCTTGTTGCCCCAGCTACCTGTGTGGGGCACAGAGCAATGGAGTGGTCACAGAACTCATTAGTCCTACCTGCCACTGTCCCCCCCGTTTGACACACTGCAGATGGCTTGGCCTTCTGGGTTTCATTCACCTCCAGCATGCCCTGCGCTGACCAGCAGTTGTTGCTGGCTACTGATAGAGCGTTGACTTACTAGAGGTACCCCACTTGCTTCCCCTTGTAGGCATCTAAGATGGGCACCTATCGGGGACAAATAAGCCCGGTGTGACAGGAGAATGTGATTTTTGTCCTGCCCCAGAGAAGCAAGTCACTGAGTGTGAAAAACTATAGCCATGGGATCCCCCAAATCTGAGAACAAAAAGAGAGTCCTTCCCTCATGGATGACAGCCCCTGAGGATGAGCGGAGAGAGCTGTCAGCAAAGACACCCAAAAGGAAGAGGAGAGCGGCTGTGCAGGAGGGGGTAGCAACAAGGTAGGACAACCTGGTCAGAGTGGGGAGGGCAGTGGGGTGGGTGGCATCCTTCTAGCAGAGTCTGAGGTCTCAGCTGTCTCCTCACAGAAGTACCACCGAGTCTCTGTGGTGGTAAGGCCCTGCCACCTAGCTGTTGGCACAGGCAGTGAGTTCTTTTGTTTTGTTTTGTTTTTCGAGACAGGGTTTCTCTGTGGTTTTGGAGCCTGTCCTGGAACTAGCTCTTGTAGACCAGGCTGGCCTTGAGCTCACAGAGATCCACCTGCCTCTGCCTCCCAAGTGCTGGGATTAGTGTGTGCCACAATGTCCGGCTGGCTGTCCACTGGGTGTTTCGAGGAGTGACCCTCGGAAGCCAGCCGCCATCCCATTCCCAGTTCCTTGTGAGGGAGTCCATGGAGGGTTGGTAGCCCTGCGCTCTGTCCCTGGGCCACCAGGCTGAGGAAATTCTTCAGAGAAGCAGTCCACCCTTCCCCCTCCACGGAGGATGCTACTGTTTCCTTCATCCTTGTGAGCCCCTCTGTCCTCAGCTGTGATTTTGTGTGTTTATTTCAGGGCCCCTGCCACGAAGACTGTGTACTGCATGAATGAAGCTGAAATGGTTGATGTGGCCCTGGGGATCCTGATCGAGGTAACGTCAGCCCCGTGTCCTCGGACTCCTGTGACTGGAGACTCATGAGTTGAATCTAGCGTAGGTCCTTGCTCCTGGCAGCAGAGGTGCTCTTAGCCTGCGTCAGGATCTCACCTCTTCCTCTTGCTCGCTTTTCTCAGCTGTGTTCCTCTCAGCTACTTCCTGTGTGTGGTGTCTATCATGCGGAATCAGACTAGATCTGCAGGTCGGGTGTGAGGGGTACACGGGGGTGGAGGAGGAGCTCCTTACCAGCCCTCCTCTCAGCAGAAGGCTGTGGAAGTTTCCTGGCTTCTGGAAGGAGAGGGAGCCCTGCCATGAAGTTGCAGAGTTCTCTTTTTTTTCCCACGTGTTTTAGAGCAATGTATCGTCTCTACAGTGCTCATGGTAACCTAGGGCTACAGCGATCTGGGATGTTACTGTCTCCAAGAAACTGAAGCTGTGCCACCAGCTGGCGGTGGAGTTCAGTTAGGCCCATAACAGGTGTTGTAGCAGGAGCTCCTGGTACTCTTTTACAAACTTGCCTTGCCTTGCCTTTCATGATTTTCAGATGGATCTTTTCCCTTCCACTCAGCTATTCCTCATACCTATTCCTGCATCTTTCCCTAGTGGGTCCTGAGCTTAAGGTGTGGGGTGAAGTAAGGGTGGCTGCCCATGCCGTGGGAGCACTGCCTGACCTGGTCACGTGCTGTGCTGGCTTTGCGGTCGGCTCAGGGTGTATCTGCGTCACTGTCACACAAACTAGTGCGTCAGAGAAACAACCTGTGGTGGTGAGCCTGTCCTGTCTTCTGCTCTGCAGGGCCAAAAACAGGAAACGGCGTCTCTGGTGACCACTGATAAACTGCAGCTCTCCCCTCCCTACTCGGCGTCTCCTCACACCAGTTCCCCCGGGAGCAGCAGCGAGGAAGAGGGCAGTGGGAGCAGCTCGCCTGCTCTAGACCTGAGCCCTTCCCAGGGGCCAGAAGCCACCGACTCACCCTGCAGCAGCAGCCCGAAGGACGAAAAGGAGGAGGAAGATGTGTTAAAGTATGTCAGGGAGATATTTTTCAGTTGATGTGAACTGTTCATTGGACTCTCTGCTGAGAGCGGAGGGGTCTGTTGAGAACTCAGGATACTGCCTACCTCTGTCACCCTTGAAAACCAGGCCTTGCTCCAGCTTCCAGTCCCAGGAGGCTTTCATGGGGGGAGGGCTTTTCTGAATGGGGGGACATATTGCAGGATGCACAAATGCATCCCAGTAGAGTCTCTAACTCAGAGGGTCTGGCTTCCCAGCCCTGGGTTTTATTCAAGTACCAGCAAAAATGAGGTCAGGGGCTCACTTGCTGGAAGCAAATAAAGTTATAGCTGCTGAGGACACCGGCATTCCAGATAAGCAGCCAGAGCTCACCCTAAGGAGGAGGCCTGCACACAGTCTCCTCATGACACAGTCCAGCAACCGACTCCCCCCTCCAGCCTAAAATCCTGGGAGCTGCCCACTGTTGCCTAAAATCCTGGGAGCTGCCCACTGTTCCCCGCCAGACTAACAGCAGGGCGTTCTCCCAGACTGGTGAGCCAAACAGGCCCTCTCTACCACCTGTCCCCTCTCTGCCACCCAGGGCCTCCACCGTGGGGGGGGGTGTGGGGACAGGAGATACCGAGGACAAAAGATCACACCAGAGTCTATCTTTCTTTGTATTCACGGTGGCTTTTGATGAGCACAGAATGAAGAACTCACAGGTTTTGTGCTATACAGACACTGGAAACTATATAATGATGCCCCAGTGCGTAATAAGGACTGCACTTCTGCCTTCTGCAGGTGAGGGGATGCGGTGTATGTTGGTGTGCAATTATTCAGTCAGGGCTTTGGCACATCCTGCATCTGCATTCCTGGGTCACAACAATGGTTTGACAGCTGACTCCTGTCCGGCGTCAGGTCCAAGGGCCTCTTCAGGGGACCCCACGAAGTTAGCAAGGATTCTCTTGTGCCCTGTGTTTCTCAGCTGAGTCCCTTGGAGGTTGTTCCTGGACCTCTGGGGCCGGAGTTCTGGTGTGGGGCATCACGCTAGAGGAACAGAAGCTGGCTAACAGGGCTTGACGTTAAAGTGGTTTCTTCCGACCATCCCGTTTGTTGCCGTAAACCTTCACCGAGTTCTTGTTGGACACTTTTTGCCAGTCAGCCTGGAAGTCTGGCCTCTCTGACAATCAGGCTCCCCCCTGCCCGAGCCTAGAGTGATAGCTGTTCTGATTGGCTGTTGAAAGCATGGGTCCTTGTGCTAATGAGCTGCATGGCTCCGAGCCCTCCCGAGAAAGGATGCTAAGAAGCAGCAAGTACCCCAGCCATCTATGCTGCCTCCGGGCTCCTTGACACTGCAGCAGCCCTACCGTTCCGTGGGTGGTTCCATCTGCCTGAGCTTGAGATCAGCATTAGCTATGAAACGAGGTGGTAGAGAGGACCCACCCAGTCACAGGTTCTCTGGCACCTCCTTGGTGCGCAGTTGGAATCGAACCCTTGTAATCCCATAAGCCTTTAGGCTGGACTAACAGCTCTCCTCCCACTTGCTCTTGTCCTTCTTTTCCCGTGGAGGGAGCATAACTGTGGCCATAAGCAGGAAGATGAGCAAGGCCTGGGCTAAGCACAGGGCTAGAAAGCCGGGCCCCAGCAAGGCGAGCCTGACCCACTTCCACACGTAGGAGAGGAAGAGGCTCAGTCCACTGGCCAGCAGGACGGAGGATGCCCCCAGGAAGCCCACTGCCAGCTGCCACTCTCCTTCATCGCCCTTGCACTGGGCAAGGAGGAGAGGCAGAGGGACAAAGATCATGAGGACCAGGGCTCCATACACACCGAGCCTGGCCAGGGCTAGGCCAACCTGAGGAACCCCCAGCGCTTCCAGCTCGGGAAAGTTGTAACACTGTAGGGAGCCAGTGTCCTCCTTCCACAGACAGAAGTTGTAGAAGCCGATCTTCAAGTTAGGCAGGTCGGTAAGGTTGCCAGCCTTCCAGAGGAGCGCGTAGAGCATCAGAGAGAGGATCACAGCCGCGAGGATCATGATGCCCACGAAGGGCAGGCAGTTGCTCCGCCACAGCCTGGAGATAGCCATTTCTTCTGCCCGTTGCAGGGGGACCTGGAAAAGGTCACACCAATGAGTATCCAGCCCTTCCCTCAGGCCTTGGTGTTCGGAAGTTCCTGTTCTTTCTGTGACAGGAAGTCCCAGGTCCCACTCACAGTGGGACCTCTGGTGGAAGGTCTTTCCCAGGTTGCCGGGGAAACCTGACATATCCTGAGCCAGAGCCCTGATGTCAAAGGCTTTATTGCAGCATAGATAATATAAACCATCAGACGCTCTGTGAGGGGGTGTCTCATCCTCATGGAGGTGAGTTGGGGTGCAGGCTTGATTGGGATCTCTCCTCACTCTGCTGCTGACAACTACTTGGGGAACTGGAAAGAAGGCATCCAGCTGGGCTACACGGCAGTCAAATCAGTGCCTGTGTTCTGGGTGTGCGCTGGCTGGATGTGGGGCTGGGTGGAGGATCTGTGGCCTGTGTCTCCTGCCCAATTTTGGGAACTGACTTGGGTAAAACAGGACCACCCCCCCCATGAAGAAATCACATCATTGCACTCCATTGATTTTAAAATGTCTGTCCACTCCCCCATACAACAGTAATCTATTTTAGAAAATTCTGGAAATATGTCTTAAAGCAAAAATTAAAATAATCATTTATCCTACCACCCCAGTAAAACTACTGTTCTTTTTCCACGACTGCATTTCCCATGTGACTGTGCTTTTAAAAAGCATACTGTTACACACAGTGGTTTTCATTGCCTATTATGACCATTTTTTCATAGTTGTTGAAATAGTCTTCAAGACGCGATTAATGGTTACATACTATTCCATTCATAGGTTGGGTGTGGTGGTGCACAACTTTAATCCCAGCACTCAGATGCAGAGGCAGGCAGATCTTTGAGTTTGAAGGCAGCCTGGTCTACAGAGTGAGTTTCAGGACAGCTATGGCTGTGTAGGGAGACTCTGTCTCCAAAAAGAAAAAAAAAAAAAACAAACAAACAGATGCAAAACAACACCCCCGCCCCCGAAAAACCCAAATTCAACTCAGAGCTGTTTGTTTCACTATCTTGCTGATCTTAATAAATATTGCTGCACAGACCTACAGAAACCTTGCTGATGCCGTCTCTTTAGGTGTGTATAGAAGCGCCTATTTTGCCAGGTGGTGGTGGTGCACTTCTTTAATCCCAGCACTCGAAAGGCAGAGTTCCAGGCCAGACTGGTCTACAGAGTCAGTTCCAGGATAACAAAGTCTACACGGAGAAACCCTGTCTCAAAAACTTAAAAACAAACAAACAAAAAAGTGCCTATTTTCCCACACTCTCATTACTTAGAAAAATCTTTTCATTACTCTCTTATTCCAAAGAGATTTTAAAATTGCTTCTAAAAGAGTCTGCACGCTGTGCCTTTCTCTATGAACGTTTCCCACTAAGGAATAAGGCAAATATTTATGCCAGGAATGGCTAGGAATGCAGGGCTGGGAACCCTGTGAGACACAAGCACCAAGGCCCAGATACCAAGTCCTGTGGGCCTACTCCAGAGAGCGGGGTGCAGCCCAGCATTGGTGGCTCTGGGGAAGGACCCACAGACCCTGTGGATCAACTTCCTAGGGGGACACCTTGGGGAACAGCTGCTCTCACACAGTGCAGTGGGATCTCCGTGTACCACGTTTGTTTTACAAAGGCAAAAAGGAATTCGGAGAGAACACTTGTCAGCCTTAAAGGTGTATATGTGTGTGGTGGGGGGCAGGCGGGCTAGAGGGAGGAGAATTCTTTTCAATGGCCCCAAATATATAACACAATAAAGATTCATGGTGGGTATTAGCAGCCCCCGCAGTAGACATGCGCCTGTTAGAACACTGAGGTCCACATCCACACCGCCTTTCCCCAGCATCTGGGTGCCTGAGTGTGTCCAGTTCCTGGCTCTCATGGTGCCTTCCCCTCCAGAGAAGCCCAGCAGGGAGCATCCCTCAGGCTTTTGTCAGAGGCCCTGCAGGCTGGGGCCAGGGATGCCCTATTTGAATTTCCTAGGAATTCCTGAAGAAGTGATGCTTGCGTTAGGAGGTTTCTCAAGACCATTAAGAGGTAGCCTTAGTCCATATGTCACTGGCTTGGAAGGATGAAATAACCCATGTAGCCACGGTAAGGAGAAATCCCCAACTTATTTTAAATGGCTTTGCCCATTTAGCAATTATTTTTTTTTTTTTGCAAAGTCTATACGTGTGCTATTAGAGGGGTTTTCAGGACATGGGGTGGATTTCTGGGTGTGGGACCCCGTTTATCTAGTGATGCAGTAGGAAATAAGGCTTGCCCAACCTGTAGTACCCAGAAACAATCCGATTGGGGACTAGAAGGCTCCTGTTTGAATCAAGCATATTTAAATTAAAATACTACCCTTGAAGCTCTGCCAGACAGTGAACTTGGCTTCTTAGAGGAGACTCAGCACAGCTCCTGCCAGGTACCCGGAGCCTTTGTTTTTGGCTCATTTTCTCTCAACTGATCTTTTGGAGGTTTTGGTAGGTTACTGTTTCGTTTTGCCCTGTTCTGAAACGAGTCTCTGTATGTGGCCCAAGTTGGCCTCAAACCCTATAATCCTCCTGCTCCGGCTCCTGGAATGCTGTGATTATGGGCCTGTGCCACCACATCAGACATTCCAAAGGCTTGTCATAGAGAGCAGGGCAGGAGGAAACCGGAGGGAAGGAACACACACGGGGAGCACATCTGTCCTGACTTTCCTCTGCCCGGCCCTCACGGGCAGAGGTCAGTCCTAGCCCCTGTGCCTGGCCGCTGAGGCTCTCTACCATCTGGCATGGCTTAGAACTTGAATTTGACTGGGGCTCAAGTCCCTTTGTCCTCGGCAGTTGCTTCTTTGTGGTCGAGCTTCTCTGCTTAGGCTGTGCCCCTTTCTTCCAGCCCACCCTCAGCTGCTCTCCAACTCCTTGGGGGCAGGCCAGACACTGGGCTGTGTACTAGAATACAGTGTTCCCGAGGAGCAGCCTTCATCTCTTTTACCCTGAGAAGGCTGGTAGGATTTTTTTTTCCTGAATGAATGAATGAATGAAAGAAAATGCCCTCTGATGTCCCTAGGTTTACATCATGTGTTACGGCCACACTTCAGCAAGGTGGCAGAGCATCCCGAGGGCCCTGTCCATGACTTTCATTCTAGCAGCCGTGTGGGGACGTTCATTCAGCTTCCTCCTGGTAGCCAGCCCCGCTCTTAAGCTCTCTTGCCACAGCACCTGTATACTTGTTGGAAACCCTTCTCATCGTCCCAGCCTGCCTTGCGCTATGGTAGAACGACCCCGATCCCCTGTAATAAGCCTGTGCTCTCTTCCTTGAAGAGGCTCTAGACTAGCGGTTCTCAGCCTTCCTAATGATGCCACCCTATAACACAGTTCCTCATCTTGTGGTGACCCCCAGCCAGAAGATTTTACTGTAATTTTACTACTGTTATGAATTGTAATGTAAACATCTGTGTTTTCTGATGGTCTTAGGCAACCCCGTAGAAGGGTC